TGTATGTGTGTTTATGGGGCTGGAGGAAATGTAATATAATTAACATTAACAGTTGTTGCGATTTGTTGGAGCGGCAATGCACATTTACCTAATGGCAAACTTTGTCCCAGCGCCAGGCGCGTTTTCTACGGAGATTACTCACACGCTGGGATTTAAAATTCCCTTTCAAGTGTCGTGGCAAGGGCATCCTAATGAGCCCCAGGACCTTATCGCCCCCATTCCTTCTCTCTGGCAGCAAATTAACATATGCTTTTTGCGTGGCTCCGGCAGAAAGAAGATTTCTTATTCTATTAGCCGACAGCACTGGCAATAATTTAATTGGACCATGCGCACTGCGTGTATCCACAAGATACGAAATGAAAAAGGGGGCCAAAAGGGAGAGTCTAGAGCAATTTTTCTTCGTTTCACCTAGCGCCTAATGAGAATGTAGTGCCAGGACAGCCAGCCAGTCGGCAAAGGACACTAAAAACGCATAAGCTACGAACTTTTTGAGTTCCGGCTTTGTCCGGAACATTGTTGTTGTATGGGCGGTGTTAATTAAAAGGAAAAACTCATGACACAAACGGAATTTGCGACCCTCGAGGTGCTGCTGCAAAATGAATGGTAGATATGTAGATGAACGAATCCTGGGTGGGTTCAGATAGCGTTTGTCGCGTAATGTGCATGAATAATAATATCCATTAAGATAGTCCTCCCGAAATTTGCGGGGTCTTCTGATGGCTTTTGCGTCCCTGATCCACTGGGAAAATAATTGTAATAAGTACTCGCTTGACTACTTTTGATTTAACAAATATTTTGCTCAAAAAGCAAAAAAGAAATCTGATGGAGTCAAATCTAGACATTTTTATAAGTTATTTTTGTCCTTTGTTTCACCTCTTGACTTTTTATGTCGCTTTTCGAACTGTGTAACCTCCCAAAGAAATGCGAGAGCTTGAAGTTAATTTGTGTAGCTGCTGGATACCTCTCGAGCTCTCTCGAGCACTATCTCCATTGTAAATTCCGTCTTTCACACCTGTTACACGCAATTATCTCAACCACGGGCCAAGAAGAAACTTCGGGCGGACTGCACTTTGGTTCCTCAGTCCCTCTCCCCCGATAGAGTTTCGTTTCCGACCAAAGGGAAGTGGGAAATGAGTTTCGGATTAGAGCACGACCCCACCATCACCCTTTCGCCAGTCATCACGCAGTCAAAGCGCAGTGTAAGTAGCTTGGGCTAAGTGCCACCAGCAGCACCACCATCGCCTGCGGGGGTTTGTACCACCAATACCAGTCCTTCACTTGGAGAAACATTCGTTTAACTCTGACATATTAACAATTCTTACAATTTCACACCTAAATTTTCTTTGCAAAATATTGAATCAATTTGTCGTGATTAACAAGCTGCAGGCTGCAGCAATTGTTTTTTATGAGAAGTCAAAGTGAGTAATACTTTCTCCCCGTGCAGCATTACCCGTTGAGTGGAGCACGCACTGATTGCCAGTGAAATGCATGTGAAATTAACCTCGTGCGCTGCTCGGTTTAATTTGCACTCGATGGCTGGCAGTGGGAGAGCGGAAAAAACTTGGGCATTGGCGCTGCTGCATGCCAATGGAGGCGACACGCCGGCGTCCCAAATGTAATTTTCCCTTTGCTCATTTGCTGCCTGACTGGCTGATGGCTGCCGACGAAGACATGGCCACGGCCAACTCCCCGGCTCTCTGGCAGCACCACTCACTGACTGCACCACTCAGTCATCGCGTCACCCACTCACTTGCCCATGCGTCAAGTTGCGTAGTTGCGACGGAAAGTGTTGAGCAAGTTGTCAAATGGTCTGTGATGGCTGATGGAACAGCGAAGGGTTTGACTGACTAATAATTGCGGAAGGGTGGAGCACTCACGCCGAGAAGGTCGCTCCGGGTATGCCGTTGCATGCGGAGAAATTTAGCTTGAAACCTTTCACATTAGAAATAGAATTCACTCCTAAAATATAAATAAGAAACCAACATTCCATGAAACGAACTAAAGAGAGGAAGAGTTTTCGAATTTAATCAAGACCTGATTTCAATTCATTTTAAGTTGACAAGGATTTGAAGCGGATTTAAGAGCACTCAATTACCATGGCCAACGCATCTGCAAACATTGATAAGCCGCTTAACTGGCCATACTTTTCTCACAATTTATGGCTCGCCTGCGCGTGCACACATAAAAGTGCGGTTCGGTTATAATGAATGCTTAATAAGCATTTGTCGAATACATAAGCAATGTCCATTAAAATTGATTTCATTTGCTATGCAATTTACAATTCATCTTCGTTATAAAACGCAGCCAGGCAGGGAATTTCGCGTCACTTATCCAAACCCGAACCAAAACCAAAACCAGCCCATCGAAGCTCGCCCGCAGACCCACAAGTGTGGACTCTACATAAACTATTCATTTCAGTTCAATAACAAAGCCGGTGCCAAAGCCCGAAGCAGTGCCCATATGTGTTCATTCCATTGAGTTATTCGCCGCATTAACGAAATCAACATTTAAATTGCAAATTGTGTGTATTTTGATTGAAAAATGCCGCGTTGACGACCCGTCCTCGGCGCAGATACACGGCTGGCGGATAGAAGAGGAGAAACGCGATATAACAATGCCCGATTCTGGCCTGGTTTGGTTTGTTTTACTGTACTCGTTGGCAGCTGCTGTCTTCACACATTCGCCCGCATGCAATTTGCTGCTCTTTTGTGCAATAAAAATAACACACAACAACGAAAATTTCATGCGCATTAATGTACGACATTTGAGAAATGGCAACTGTGCTCTCTCAGTCTTTCACATACATTCACGTATGGGCATATATATAACATACATATCTTTTTTTAACTTTACACGGTAATCATGAAGTGGTTAGATAGGTGTACCTAACCAAACTAGATAAGATTTTGGTAAAGTGATTTATACGCAAGTTGGTTGATATAGATTGTAATCATTTTCTATAAATAACTATTGGTGGGTAAGAATTATCCATGTTGCCCACTGTGTTGTAAATACCGGGTATCCCTCCGTCGCATCTCTATTTAATCTACTCCTTATTCCGGCAAAGTGCAATAAAAATGCAAAAAGCGAATTCGAATTGATTGAACAGAACCGGACAGGACTCATACTTACATCCAGTCACGCACAATGGTTAAGAGTGGGCGGGAAACCCCCAAGCAACGGGGAAAACGAGAAAATTATTCATTAACACATGCGTAAAATGCAAAAGAAACATTGCCATAAATAAATAATTGATAAATTGCAGATGAATTTTCATATTTAATGATGTTTAAGTGAGTGGGCTGAATCGGAGGGAACTGAAGTGAAGTCGAGGCGAGGAAAGCGTGCAAATGCCAGTTTTGTCCGCATCTGGGTGTGCAATAATATTATGTTAAAATATACGATTACAATTCGGGTTCCTTCCCGTTTTACGACTCGAGTTGCGTGCGATGTCGCACAAGAGTGCGTATGAAAATTGATTGTTGCTTTATTTATGGCCTCGCACTCGCAAAGTAGACATAAAAAATTAAGACAAACATAAAATGCAATCATGCAGCTCGGTCTGGATAAAAATCTACTAGCTGTAGCCCCCATACGGTTTTTTTCCGTTCGCCTGATTTGGTTTTACGTGCGCAGATAGGCTTTGGGAGTTACTGCTCAGTGTTGCCACATTGCTTTCTAAAAGATATAACAATAGCTCAACTACCTCGTATACAAGTTATTGTTTAATTGCTTTTTATTAAAAACTTAAGATGTCAAAATAATTTAAAGAATTTCTATACATTGTATGCAACCAGAATTTGCAATAAAAAAGTTCACTCGGCAACCCTGATCCAGTCCTTAAAAGGCGACATTGAGGTCGCTACAAGCCTCCACGGGTTGTGTAATAAAACGCATAAAACTTTGCCTCTAACGAGCATCGTTTTTACGATCCTACTACCCGACATCGAACCGACAAAATGTGCGGTGACATAAGGAACCTTCAAAGAACTGCGGCTCCCTTTCGAATCTTTCCCAACTGTTAAACAAAATGAACGCTTAATGATTTATTATATGTTTTATTTGTACTTACTAAAGAGTTAGAAATAAAGGGATAAAGTGCTTAGGTTGCAGTAAAGTTTAACTAGACCATCGATCACTTTGAACATAATTAATGCCGTCACTCATAGTTACACAAATGTCAACAATTATTAATGGATATCAATGCGTTTGGTTAAAGTAAGTTTAAATTAGGCGGTCCATTAAAGTTGGGTTGTTACGATTACCATTGCTATGTACCCAACGTATAAGTATCCGCAGAAATTTTAATTCTCATTTCTTAACGCTTACTCCGCTCTGCAAAAGTTTTGAGGGTTGATTAAGTTTTGAATCTAGTCAAACACAAAGGAGCAATGGAGGCTCCACTCAACTGAGATAATCTGCATCCATCTGCAGGCACTTCAATGCCTAAACCCTGCAAAATATGTAATTAAACTTAATGAGTGTAAAATGCCCATGTCCTGGCTCAGGCTCCGGCCGAAACTTGTTCCCAGGTCTTTGGTCCTGGCTGCGTTTTCAGCTGCAGCGTCGAATCAAATGCTGTCAGGCAAATCAAGTCATTCATTTGTCAATTAGTTGACAATGGGTCAACTTGAGCTTAGCTCGTCCAGCAGCCCAAAACCAAAAAGCAGATCCAACAAATGCTGGACGTAATTGCATTTAAGATTTTGTGAAGTCCGGTCAAGAATTAACTTGGCCTTAGGTCTGCTTCGAGTGGAGTCACATTTTGTAATTTGGTATCACTGATGAAATGCATTTCATTAATATTTACTTGCCTGAGGCACCTCCGCCCTCTCATATATGTGGGCTAAGCAAGCGATTTGATTGCTGCCAGAGCCCAGTTATTGTCTAAAAATCACAAATTCAAGTATCGCAAGAACGAAAGCCGTAGTGGAAAGTACTAAGATAATTGAGATGTATGTAAGTGTTCCATTTTATAGTGTTCTTCTATTTTACTTTAGCTTATGGGAGACTTAGTGTGCTGTCAATAATTGTTCAAAATAGATTTTTAAATCGCTTGTCTTTGCAAAATATAAATTTCTGTAATAATGGTTGATAATATGGAAATAATAAAACCAGTAATAACTCGAGAAATGGTTAGAATCTTGCCAAGTGTAACAGATGATAGGATAACATTGCCCGACACAATAGACGACATTGTAAAGGATTCAGAGAAAGCCGATAAATCTGAGTCTCAAGAAGAAGAAAACACGGAGAAAACGTCGGAATCCGCTGAAGAGGAAGAGGACGAGGACGAAGAACCAAAGCAGTCCGAGAAAGAGGAAATAAAGTACGCCTGGAATGCACCCTGCATGATGGTTCTCTTCGAGGACGGTGATCTCAACTGCGCCCTTCATCATTTAGTGGAATCCCTCCAAGATCCGTTCGCCTTAGACGCAGTTGCTGTGCTTTTGGTACAGGAAAGCTTAGTAGAGGAACTCGAAGGTCGAATAGTGACCTTGATGAAACCATTAGATTCCAGGGTGGCCAATCATCCCTGCTATAAGCGCACTTTGCTCAAAATTTCCGAACTGAAACCCAAAACTATAATCGGCCCTCCTGAATCTGTACTCCCTGATGCCACGCCCATGCTGGTGCGGGATGTTCCCCACAAGTTCTTGGGCGTAGGACCCACTGGCGTTATAACCATGCACATATTTCGTACGCCCTTCGAGGCCACTCAGATATATCGAAAGGAGTACCCCCTGCCAATTGCATCGGTTAGCATCTGGAATGAAAGGGTATCGAGTGTCTACGAAGTTGTGGGCTTAATGAACCACTTCGATACCTTTAAGGTGAACTGCTTTAGAGTGAGCATGGAGCCCATTAAACGGGCGTTCGAGCTGCGAAAATACAGTGCCTGCATGCATCAAGGTTATCACTATGAAACGCTGCTCATTAATGGCGAGCGAAAGATAGTCATATTTCCGGTGGGATGCATATTTGGTAACTGAAGTGTAATCTCAAAATCGAATTTATTAAATGAAAATTTGTCGATTAACTTGTCTTTAAGCTCCTCATTCCACGCGATCCCTAATAACCCTTTATGAACTGCCACGCTACGTAGTTCCGCCACATTTCGCATGAAACTCTTATCGCCAGTTGTTTAGAGTTATGCGAAAATGAATGGTATCCTTTACCATTAGGCAGCCATTTACTCCTCACCTCCATGGGGCTTTTTCCCAGAACCTAATGCATGCAATCTGATCCGATGTGCCGGCGCTTTCAACAACTATTTGCACACAGAAAGCCTGTTGAGAACATTCAACTCGCACTTTTCGTTCGCTAATCTAAATTAATGCCTCTCACTGCGAATCGGAATGGGCTGTGCAGCGATGTTCTATCATTCAATTAAAAAAAAGGAGCAAAGCAACAGAAAACGCGTGCATGGAAAATGCGCGAAACAAACCAGAGGATTTTCGCACATTTCCCCCTTTGTAAAGAAGGGGAGGGTTGGGAGCAATTTTCACCACTCCCCGGACGAAATAATGAAGTGTTTAGTTGATTATCTAAACGCACAGCTCCGTATCCGGATCCGGGCGCACTATTCCTGTGCCTCTGGAATTGCTTGGGTTTTCGGGTAGCGGTTGAGTCAATAATGCGCCAAATAAACAGCTAACAAGTTGGTAATAAAAGAACTCTAAAATTGCCCGAGGCCCGACCGATCCGGGGTAGAGTGCCAGCCCACTTATTCACCCACACGCAACTGCAGGCACTGGCAGGTAACACCGGGCCTAAAACTTTTGAACAAAAGCACAGCCATGGCCTCGGAGTCCATATATTCGAACGATGAATGCCGCGGGGCGTGGCACGCATTGTCTGCAGGTAAGCCTTTTTGCGGTGGTGCCCACTTTTTGGCACTGAACAACAGCGCAACGCATTTGCATTGATAACCCAAAATGTTTGGACTTGAAACGAGTTTAGTTTGGCCTGCTTTCGTGTACAAAGACCATATTTCACTGCTAAATCAAACAGACAATGGGCTTCAAGCCCCGCAGATTGTTCGAGCACAGCTGCGGTCAGCGTTGTATAAAGAGGAGTTTAAAAAATGCATTGCATTTATCTTAAAGTTGCAGAACTGCTAACTGGTAGTATGTTTCTCCCAAGAATCTTAGAATGCCAATAACATTCATCAACGATTTAATACATAAATTTGCCCTTTTCATAGTTTCAATTTAAATGTTTTATCCGTGGTAACGACTCTACTTGTTTCCCCTCAATCGTTTTCCAAGTAAAAGGAGGCGTATGCGTAAAGCCTTTAGCAGTCGGCTCGCCACGATGTTTACTGGATGTCTTAATTAAATTTGATTAGCTGTGTGCGCAAATTAGTTAGTTTTGCATGGGAATTGATGAGCGTGATGAGTTTGCCGACTAATTGGCTAATTGATTGATTGTTGGAGTGGTTGCAATGCCTCTCACGGCAGAGGCCTACCAGAATGTTTGTCTAATTGCGCTTCGAATGCATTCGCTCATTCTGAAGTTGTTATTCTTTGTGTGCATTCGCTAATGAAAACCGAATGATAGCAGGAAAGCTCACCACGCTGGTCTGCAGTCCATCAAAAATGTATTAGCCAAGTCCATGGAATGCTGTTGCTGCTACTGTTTGTTTTTAAATATTTTTCGTAACGCAGATTCCTTGGCTCGGGCACCGCCTGCATAATACATATCGAAATAACCTTGGTCCGAAATTCGCCAAAAGAATAACTGCGCATTGTTTGCAAGGAACAACTTTGCTTTCTGCCTTGGCTCCTTGGCATGGTTGGTAGTTGTTGGTTGTCAGAGTTTCCCGGGGGATGGAGTTTTCCGGGCGGTGGGCGAAAGTGCTAAAGTTTCCACAGCGCGCATGAAATTTCCACTTTAGTTGTGTTGTGTAGTAAATTTTTGTTTTCGCTCTTTGTTTTCTTATTTTTTCCAACTCGAGATTTCCCCCTTCGTTCTCGGCGCGCGCGTGCTTATTTCAAGTAGTTGAAATTATTTTATAGTATAAAACTTTAGTTTTTTAACTTTGCCCGGTGCTCTTCGTGTTGTTTTGTTTTCGCTAGGCGAAGCCCTTCGTCCATTTGGCGTCCGCACGCGCTTTTTGTTTTAGCATATTTATATTTTAATAAGCGTTCTGGCAGCTGCGCTCCACCGCCTGCCTTTTCCCGCCAACCTCGCCCCCTTCGATGTCCTGCGTAATCTTACTGCAATTTCTGACAGTTTTAGAAATCTTCGCGAGCAGAACTTATGAACCCAAATGCGCCTGTCAGTGGCAAAACAGTAAACGCAGCCTGGCTGGCAGGCGGGCAACGTGGCGTATGATTGTTATTAATTTCATATTATGTGTAAGCACCACTGCTATCCTTTGTTGCCCGCTTTTCCCATTCGCAATAAGCAATAAGCGTCAGCCAGAGTGATATTTAATGTCAGAGGGCCGAAGCTTCGAGAGGATGACTTCGAGGTGCAGTTCAAGTGGCCCCTTGGCGCACAAAAGTGTTGAGATTGCCAGAAGTGTTTGAGCATCTCATTAGCATAAAGTGCGGTTAATCTGGAGGAGGAAGTGAAAAATTAAGAATGCACAGAGAAAAAGCGATGATAACAGAACGGTAATGAAGTAAGTAGAAAAGGGGATTTGCTGGGCTTAAATTTTGAGCTTAAGCCGTTAAAAACATTCTCGTTAAGAATTTTACTTAAACAAATTTCCATTGTTACTTTTAATTAAGGTTAAAGAAAGCTTACCATGAAAAATCGTCAATCATTATTTATTATTAAACTGCAAGAAAAATTTAGCATTTTTAGTTAATAAAAAGTTTTGAGTTTTTAATTATAGAACATAAAAAGAGTTAACCTCTAATTTTTAAAAATCGGACTTAAATCAGAGCTAAACATTTTGGTAAAGCCTTTTAGAAACTAAAAAGTATTTCTAGTATCCTGATCATATTTCCTGCAGTGCAACCTTCTCTTGATTAAATTAAAATTCAATTAAGGCTTTTGTTTAGTTGGTCGCAGTGAACGTTTAATACGAAAATCCATCACAAACATGCATCAAAGGAGCATTGTTGTTGTCCCGCCGCAATTGTTAACCATTTTCACTTCAATACAATGTGACATGGCCCCTTTACTGAGTGTGTGTGTGCGTGAAGTTTGTTTATGACAGTGTGAGTGTGTGTAATAGCATTGTGTTTGTAGCAAAATATAATCATAAACGTAATTTAATCGCGCCAAACCGCGTCTGTCACGTACTTGCCAGCCACAGATACAGATACACAAAGACACATTATTGACGCGCGCACACAGATACGGACGCACACTAACACCGTTGGCAGTGTTGACAACAGAAACTGTTATAATAATTCAATTCAATTCAGCCAGCCATTCCGTAATAATGTCGATTCAATGTAGTAAATACGTTGCGAATCGTTTGCGACTTGCCAAATCTAATGATCACCTGTTTGGCTGCGCATCACACCCCCGAATATTCTCCATTTGTTCGCGGGTGGGGTAGAATTGATTTCGCTATCCAGGCACGTCATGTTCCATGGGTATCCGTAAGCTCACAGAACTATTTTCTATTGAATTAAATTGTTATTATTACAAATGGCAGGCCAAATGAGATTTGTATTTCGGCTGTGACAATGTTTAGGGCCCGTGTAAAATGATTGTGGAAACAATGTGATTAGTTTGGTATTACGTAAATGCCTTTTAATCCTTTAATTCAAGGTCCATCGTGAAAGGTTAAAAGAAGTCTATAGCATTATAAGCATTATATTTAATCAGGCAACTCAAATTAATTTAGCAGAAATCAAGACAAAATTTAATAACTGCGTGATACCCATTCCAATTTCCATTTCGGGCTGATTTCCCTCTTTGTTCTCCAACATTAATGAGTCCAGTCATTTGTAAATTCGAGTTTTCATTATCCGCATTCAAACGTCGCTTCATTTACTATATTCGCGCAAGTTCAGCGCATCCTGAAGTCAGTGGAGTTCCTGTCAAAAGGCTTCATCCGCCTTTTACGGGGATTCCTGCGCCGGCAGCCGGTGAATCAGTCACGTGTGTGCAAAATCAAAACGATTTGAGGCGAGCTGTCACTCCGTCTTGTGGCACTGCTTGTGTCTAAGTCTTTTGTTTGCAATTTGCGAGTGGAGCGAGCGTGAATGCGCGTAAATTACGGCTGACAAGAGACGGCTTCCTCTGATGCGGAAGGGGCCAGGATGCGGATGCTATTGGGTGATTGATGCACTCGCCTGGGTCACTATAGTAAATAAAATAATTTTTATTTAACTCGTTAAAACTCGTTATACTCGTATAAATAGTAATTATTTCCAATAACTTGAACACTTTTCCTCATAATGCTTTTGAGAGGTACTACAATTATTTTCCGTGCATGAAACACTGCAACTTTTGCCACTTAGTCGTAAGCCGCGCAGCCCAGGCTCCAGAAATCGGAGCCATTCCATTGCACACATGACAGCTGCCATGTGCTAGCATCCATGTATCCCAGTATCCTGGCATCCTCGCAGTTAACCACAGCAGCACAGGGAGCGCTTTGTCCTTGTCACCTTTTTAGTTTTTGGTGTGTTGACAGTCAAGCACTCAGTTGACGACGCAGCACTGGCAGCTCTTCCACTAATCCTGCACACTGAGTGAAAAATTGTGCGGTCTTGACTTACCTTTCTGCAAAATTGGTAAAAAATCAGTCATCAGAAAATGGAAATCGTTAAGTGCAGTTCAAAAATCCAATTACAATGTTTTAGAAGTATGCCAGTTTAGAGTCGGTGTAAAATTGATGATATTAGGTTTGGTTGCCATGAACAGAGGTACAAAAATTCACCATAACAATACTTGAATGCAATTCGTTTATGAATCCAATTACAAATGACAATTAAAAAGTGTCTTGAACACCACATATGTTATCAATTATTATTATTATTACGAAGTTCTCTTGTTTGGTTTTTTCCCGTGCAGCGTATGCTCGACTTCAGGGACCGGCAAGTGCATTTATCTCGATCTGGAATGCCTTTTGAATAACTTGCCATATTAGCGTGTTTCCGTTTCCTTTCAGCTCAGCAGGCAGAACTCGGCAGCGCGCAGCTTAGTTGTGTCTGGGCGTCCTTGTGTGCGTATTTGTCAAAAGGATTTGGCAGTGATTTAGCTGCTGGCCCAAATTTCATACCGAATTCCGTGTCTCTCTCGCCTGCGACCGCTTGACTGAGTGACAGCGTCCCTGAATCTCGGCCTCCTGCCCGTTGAGACGGGATTAGGTCGCGCCCAGCCCTTTTAGCCGCTGCAAATTAGCTGCCTAATTGTTTGCCAAAGCCGCAACTTTGGCCATTTCTTCTTCTCGGCCAAGAGACTCGCAGGCAGAGGGAGTTGCGCTTCCATTTGCCGAATGACAGCTGAATAATGTGCGCCCCATAAGCAATTAACGCGCCTGCGGGGCTTACACACGTACGTCTCTTGAGAATGAGTACAGTGGCGGTAGGAAAAATAGCACTTGCAAGTCTACTACGGAGATGGCTTCATTTTGGGCAAAAAAACAATAAGTAGTTTATTGAAAGTAAATTACCAGTGATCGAACACAGAGCAATTAGGAACGTCTTGATTATGTTGTTCTGCAAATTGCTTCAGGAAAAGACTACAGATTATCTAATATTTTGACCGAAGCTGCCTGACTGTATGCCGCGCTATCTGTGTGTGTTTCTGTGGCAGCTTACAAATTGAGTCAATAATTTTGCTGGGCCCTTCGCTGGGCGGGAAGTTATCCTCCTGCTCCATTCCTGGTGGCACTTTGTGCATAATAAATAAACGCCATGAAATACGCGACTTAACACGCAATGTACGGCAAAGTCGCATGTCTCCATCTCCTTTCGGTGAGAGTGTGTGTGCATGTTTTTGAGTGTGGGTAAGCACCATATGACACCACCTTGACTCATTAATTACGCACTGGCATTTTTATTTTCATTGCATACTTTTATGCAATTTATTATTACAGCATTGCGGGGCAGCGCTGAAAAAAGCACACGCTGAAATACAAATTGCCTTTTTTACACACACATATATTTAAGTATATATGCATACACTTGTGACTTATTTACAGCGGGAGATATTCTGGCCAACACACAGTCGTGTGGAGTTGCGGTAAGCAGAACAAGCCGCAAATGAAATGTGTGCTGGATTTTTGAGCTGTCTTCCATCTTGGCTTGGTCAGTAGTTTTCTGCCCATTGCCAATGGTTTTTGGCATATCCATAAATATTTTAACAGGCAGTATATTTCAGATATGTATAATACATAGAAATCATAATAAAGTGCATTTTCAAATATCAGCTTAGCTATTGAGCAATACGTATTTAATATTAATAATATTTTTTAATGCTTTTTAGACTCGTAATAAAAGATCTCTTCGCTTTAAAGGTAATATTGGTTTTTAAAGGTAAAAAAGTAGTGAAGTCAAGGGTGAAGGGTAGTCAACCCAATATTCCATAAAGAGACAGGCTTTAATCTTAATGCCAGATCGCAGCGCATTGCTTTTTCGCTTATGCCGGCTATGCGAAGAACCCCTCGAATAACCGAATAAATATTCACTTTTTACTTCACTTGTTGTTGCGGTTGCATTATTATTGTCGAAGTTGTTGTTTTCGGCGGTGGAGCGGGTGATGGCGACGCCGCTTCTGTGGTTGCTGGTCGAAAATTCCCCAAAGAATCTGACGCACTTATCGCAAATTACTTTGGCAGTTGCAGCGCAGCGTTGCTTTTGTGTATAAATTTAACAATTTACCCATACACGTTCAGGCATGTGTACATTGCATGCGCAGGGGATTGTAAATTACCATACACACGCAAACGTATATACACACACACACATACACATTCTGAGACTAAATGTGTCCGAAGAACGTGCAATGTCCATGGCCAGGAAAGGACAGCACAGGATTTGTAAAACTTTTGGCCAACATGGCGTATGCATAATATTTCTCCCTGCCGCATGTCGGCCGACAAACTTCATTAACAACAACCCAGAAATGCTGCAAGCCCACCAACTTGCCGCAATAACAATGCAAATGTAACAGCTCGAGATGTTGCAGGTTGCAGCTGCATGTGCAACTTCTGCTGTTGCCGCTGCTGCAGTTGCATTTCCCCAATTAGCCCGACAACTCATTAAGATTTCCCGGAGACTTACCGCTCTTTTAAAGCATACTTTCTGACACTCGTCAATTAGCATTTGTTTCGGGGCGTTTAATGGCCATCCAGATGTTGCTGCAATAATTTATTGTTGCCGTTGCCGGCTTCATAAGATGTTAACGCGCACTTAATGCCACTTAAAAATACGCATAAATCGCAGAAAGAGTTTCGGCGAGAAGGGTAGGAGAGCGGCGACGGTTGGCCACTTGTCCACTTACATGGCTACTTACAACCCTGCTCAAGCATATGTATGCAGATGACCATGTTTCCACTGCCCCCCCAAAAAAGCCCACCCACCCACATCAGCATCAGTAGCAGCTGCATAAAAACAAGGTCGAACAGGGGACAGCAGAAAATATACACAAAAATAAGGCAAAAAAAATAAATAAAAATGGAAACCGAGCAACAACGCAACTGCAACAGCAGCAGCAACTGCGACTACGGCACGCAATTAAGTGCATTTAATTAATTATTGTTGATAAAATAATATTTTTGCAATTTATTGTACAAGCGGCAGTTGGGCATTTGTGAGGTGGGTGGGCGGTTGCCACCCGCCACACGCCACCCGTTATTTATGCACATGTGAGCGCAAATAAATAACGCCGACGATGGCAGCATGAAAAAAATAAACAAGAAAAAGGGCTAAAAGATAAGAACTGGGCTAGTGAATACCTTGTTATACCTTAAGTTGTAATAGTAAAACATAATTAGCTCTAAAGAAACTGCAGAAAAACCCATTTGAAACGCCTGTTAGCAAAATTAACTAATTGACTAAGGAAGTTTTTGGATGAGTAACATTTTTACAATACACAGAACACGTATACCTTTAACCCGCATTACCACAGGGTACACATATCGTTTGCTGCATTCTCCTGCGTTGACGTTATCAGAAGTCCGGCAGTTACTGGCCGCAGACGCAGCGATATCGCCACGGTGGCAGCAGCATTGCCTATCGCACTGGGCAACATCGAAACTATGGCAGATCAATTCGAATAACAATAATTTCTTCCGGTCGAATGGCAGCGCCAGAACAATCAGACAGCGGCAGAGATGCAGATACATGTGCATGTACGGCTGCGAATGTATCTGCATCTGCAACTGCATTGTTGCTGTTTGCTGCATTTTAAACAGGATGCGCATAAGTATACGAGGATTGACAGGATGTGCGGGCCATGCACTCGCGTTTTGTTTGGCGCTGCCCCAGACACGCCTCCTGCCGTTTTAAATCGGAGGGCGTACACGTGTTCGCCGGCAGGGTCACGCCCCCTCGCACTAATTTGTATTGTTTTCGCTGTTAATGAATTTCATATATTGTATTTATGCGAATGCACTTAATGCGAAAATTATTTGCGTTGACATTGCTGGGAATCGAAAAGGATTTTAAATCGGTTGTCGATTTCCAGCGACAGGCTTAAAGTAAGTTGGGGGTGTATAATGGATTTAATTTTGAAATGGATTTTATTATGTACATATCAACATATTTTTTTTATGATCTCGTCTAATCTTTTTATTTGGCAAAGTTTATTGGTGCCATCTCTCCAAAAAAATTTTAACACCTGCAATTATCAAATATGTAATTATAAACTATGTAATATCTTCGTTTAGTTATCGACTATTACCTTTTTCAAAATGCCTGTTTCATTAAAATTGTAATGACAAATGCATCGCAGAGCTCGAAAGATTAATGGTTTTTGTTCCACTCCTCCCGTTCCTCGCGCTCCTTCACCACCTCGTTCAGGTAGGGCTCCAGGTACTTGATGTCCTCCTCGTACTGTGTCCACTGCTCCTTGGGCAGGATTGTCTTGGTCATGGAGAGGTGCAAAGCCCGCAGGATGCGGTAGTTGCGTTCGTCGTACAGCTTCTTGGGCAGGCGGCGCACTGCCTCTGCCACATCTTCGTTTTCGTACAGACAGTCGTCCCGGTGCAGACCGTACTGGTTGAATCCAGACATGTTGTAGGCCCACCTGCCTAGCTTGGAGCAAACCGCCGGGCCCACTCTCGCCATATAATTTGGCATTATGTGCAGTAAAATGTAAAAATTTGGAAGCTTGCTGGATTTTATCCTAGGAATGCTAACTGTTCAGTTGTAAAGCTGATTGCTTACTCAGAGACTCCTTTAAAAATGAATTGTCAAAATATAAATTGTCAAAAAAAATGACTATAGAACCTTCTAGTAATATTTTAGATTGGCGTTTTGGCTTTTTTCCAATGTAGTTTTTATTGGGTTCAAACTATTAAGAGCACTCGAACCCCTTCTTAAAAAAAAGACTTCCACGTAAAAATAAAACATTAGCCTTAAAAATATGATATCAAAGTAATTTTTTAATATACAAAACTTGAAAAGTATATTTCGGACTGGCATATTTTGGGTGCAGATGCGGACTTCCAAAACGCAGGGACGTCAGTAGATTTGTATTTTTCCTGCTGCTACGGGGTTTAGCAAGGACCACAAGGCCCAAAGCCGCAGGGTCCAGGTCCGCAGGGACCGCAGCCCATTCCAAAAGGTCCGCACGGTCCGCATGGACCGCAGCCTGGTCCGCAAGGTCCACAGGGTCCGCAGGGTCCGCAAGGTCCGCAAGGGCCGCAAGGTCCGCATCCAGGTCCACAGGGTCCGCAGGGACCGCACCTTCCCTCAGCGACGGGGTATTGGCATGTGGAGAAGCAGGGCAGCGGGCAGCAGGGTCCTCCTGGAGCACAGGGTCCAATGGGGCAGGGTGGGCAGGCGGCACTGGGTTTGTAGTTGATGGGCCCATTGGGATAGCAGCAGTACTCCCTCGGGGGAGGAATGTCGATGGTCTGCGGCTTCGGCTGGCACAGGATCGACTGGCACACCTCCCTCGGTTCGCAGACGCGCTTGGGGTAGCATACCACATAGGGATCGGGGATCATGGAGGGGTAGTATATGACCCTGGGCTCTCGCACCATCTGCGATACCCAAATCAGCTTGGGCACCTTGATGACTCGAGTGGCATCCACAACCTTCGGAATGGTGATCTGCCGGGCTCTGTTCACCACCATTGGCTCCGGCACAATTTTCTCCGTGAACACCACTCGCTTCTTGCAGATCATCCGCGGTGGCTGCTGGACAGTGATGCACTTGGGAAAGGGCGGCGGGATGCGGGGAGCACATTGTGGCAGAGCCTCCAGCTGGGCGGCATTGTAGCACTTGGGCGAACACTCGAAAGGTCCGCAGCAAGGATCGCAGGGACTGCAAGGACCGCAAGGTGAACACATTTTTTGATTCAGTGAGGACTAAATAATGATGGATCGAAATAAATTTTTAAAATTTTTACAATATTTTGGAAATTTAATCTGGTGAATTTGGAAGTGTATCGAAGCGAGATCGGTTTCGAACTGGCAACATTATTTGACTACACATTGGAACTTCTTTTGACACGAGAAGTCAAGGCCTACTTGAAAAAACATATTTCGAAAATAGTTTTTTAAGCATATTTGTTTATGTTTCCCATACTTTCCCTTGGAAATGACAAAATTTTTGTGACTTTCGCTTAAATCCGATTTTATTTACAGCCAATGAGTCGTCAATGCGCTGACAAAGCTAAATGAACTATAGACTTTTGGGGTGTTGAAATAGCAAGACAGAGAAAACGTTTTGACGGTCTGTAAAGGAGTCGAGCGGTCGGGATAGACATGTTGGTCCACAGGAAACTGGTTTCTAACGACGTGCAATCCAAGCAGCGTGACGACGATCCTAACAGGGTCCACCCGGACCACAGGGGACTTGCGGTCCACAGGGGCCGACGGGACCACAGTGCGTGTTCCAGGGCGTCGGAGCGCAGGGGTAGCAGGGTCCGCACTCGGGCGACTCGTACGGACACGGGGGCGAGCAGGGCCCGCAGGGTCCGCAAGGACCGCAGGGACTGTTGCCGAGCGGTCCGCAGGGCCCGCATGGAGCGCAGGGACCACAGGGAGACGGGACGAACGGACCCGACGGCATCGTCAGGCCGCAGGGCCCGCAGTTGGGTACGGCGCACGGGCCGCACGGACCGCACCTCGGCCCACAAGGCCCACAGGGCCCGCAGGCGCCGGGACCGCAGGGTCCACATCGCGGTCCGCATGGTCCGCAGCCTGGTCCACATGGGCCGCAGGGTCCGCACCTGCCTTCGGCGACGGGATACTGGTTGGTGGAGAAGCAGGGCAGCGGGCAGCAGGGTCCTCCGGGAGCACAGGGTCCAATGGGGCAGGGTGGGCAGGCGGCACTGGGTTTGTAGTTGATGGGTCCATTGGGATAGCAGCAGTACTCCCTCGGAGGAGGAATGTCGATGGTCTGCGGCTTCGGCTGGCACAGGATCGACTGGCACACCTCCCTCGGTTCGCAGACGCGCTTGGGGTAGCACACCACATAGGGATCGGGGATCATGGAGGGGTAGTATATGACCCTGGGCTCTCGCACCATCTGCGATACCCAAATCAGCTTGGGCACCTTGATGACTCGAGTGGCATCCACAACCTTCGGGATGGTGATCTGCCGGGCTCTGTTCACCACCATTGGCTCCGGCACTATCTTCTCCGTAAACACCACTCGCTTCTTGCAGATCATCCGCGGTGGCTGCTGGACAGTGATGCACTTGGGAAAGGGCGGCGGGATGCGGGGAGCACATTGTGGCAGAGCCTCCAGCTGGGCGGCATTGTAGCACTTGGGCGAACACTCGAAAGGTCCGCAGCAAGGATCGCAGGGACTGCAGGGGCCGCAAGGCGAACACATATTTTCGACTCAAATTTTCCAAAAAAAAAAAAATTTATAGAAAAATATTAATCTTATTTTTTTTTTTACAAATTTTTGCTGTACAATTTGGAAGTTGTTCGGAGCGAAAATATAAACTGAATGAGATCTATCGACACGACGACGGCATTGTAAATGACTCCAGGCACACTTTGATCGATAAAAGAAAGAGAATATCAACACTCACCTAGTAAGTTCAGTGACCATGTTATGTTACATTATATATATCATCAATACTATTTGGTTAAAGCGTTTCGATCGCAATGAAACCTTTGCCTTTCAAATGAAAAATATGTTTGTAATGCTATAATCGCTAGCATTTAATAGCTTAAACTCACGCAATGAAAAATCACAGTACGGTTCTTGAATGGAATGCATTTTGCAACCGGATTCCATCTCCACATGACGTATGCGCGACGTATCTGCATATATTTCAACAATATGGCATCTGCCGTTGAGTGGGCTTAAGCCTTTAATATGCTAGCGCCTTTATGTAGGCAGCCCGCTTTTTTGGGCCCAGTTGAAAGCCAACTTGGAAAAAACTACAACGAATTACAGAAAAACGTCGGAAAACACTCTGGCAAGCGCGGCCTATTGAATATACATATATGGGTTTGTTTTTTGCCAGCGCCTGGACATGTCAGCGCCGAAAAAAGCGTTTTGCTAGGTGGCCATGCAGTGGGTTCTGAAAGCTTTAGTGCGTGGGTGGGCGGTGCAATCAGCGCTTTGTGCATGCCACAACCATGGCGACACTGAACAATTGCGCATTCACAAAAACTACAACAATGAGCGTTGGCACAGCGGTCCATCGATGTTGACAAAGGCTTTTGCATGCGATTCAGGTAAATTCTAAAATATTTGCTCCACAGAGAGCAAATGCAGTAAGGGAAATAGTTCAGTATTTGCTCGAAATACAATAATTAAAAACATTTTACTAAATTAAAGAAAAGGCAAGGAAAGGCTCAAAGTACTTCAAAGAATTTTTACAGCAATAATTTTCTAATTTCGCCAGTTTTAATACCAACATTGATTCAATCGATTTGTTCTTAGGCTGCGTTCTAGGAATCCGCAAAATTCCTCGGCCTGTGATAACAAGCCTTTGGCTTATGGTCGTAATTATGCAAGAAAAACATCAACTTCTCTGGCTCGACTGGCCTCGGGGTGCTTATCAAGCGACAGGCTCCTCTCCGCCCAAGTTCCCAGCCGCAGACAAAGTGCCTGCTAATCCCACAATTTCGAGAGCCCAAAGAGCCTGTCTAATCACAGACCCGCCACTTGGCATCACAGTGCCACCGAAATTGTCAGCTAATAATGCAAACAATAACAGGCAACAGTCCGAAGAAATGGCGCCCATTCCGCATAATTATGGGCGGCGGACCCGGATCCCTGTCGAGATGGCGTGGCTAAGGCGGCGCAATTAGCGGACTTAGTTCGGGACTAGGCTCCAAGCCTCTGTTGGGCCTGGAATGGGGAAATAGGCACAGACTGCCCATAAATTGGTCTCCACAATGCCTGCCGGAGCGCAGATAGAGCAGCAAGTGTCAGTTCTCGGATGCTATAGCTATTAGTGCACTGGGAGAAATTTGGATCATTCGCTTGTGCTCAATAAATGAAACATTTTTCATTATATTTATAATTATTATCATTTTTTTTTGAACAGTGAGATACTTTTTTCTTGAATGTTTTTTTTGATTAGAGGTTTTTTGAATCAAACGAGATGAGTTTTTTGTTTCGGTTTCTTTTATTAATTTAATCTCGAGTAAGTTGCTCTCCATTTGTATGTATGTACCCCAATTTTGGTTCTCAATCGCTTTTGTTGTTTGCTTGCATTCTTTGCGGTCGTTTGACGTTGATAAGTATTCTGATTTATTGACAAACAAACTGTGAGTGTGCGGGTATTGTGGCAGCATTTATTTAAATTTATATATTTATTTATGGGCTGCGCAGAGGCGAATGCACACACAGATGGACAGATGGATCGTCGTTCAAACGCAGATGTGCTTTAACCCATTGCGTGTCGCGTTCTTGAACATTAATAAGGATAAATGTGCTATCTTTTTTTAATTACTAAAATAATGTATGGGTCATCAGATATGATTCCATTTAGACTTCAACACAAATCAAAATAATAGGTTGGAATGATTTAGTAATAATTCAAGATTGCCGCGTATGAAGTGGGTTAAAGAAAGTTTTCGGCTCCCGTTTTTTTATGCATTTGCTTCGATACATTTCCGTTTGATTTCAATAATTTCAACTTCCGGCACAAACCGGAAATGACAAATAAAATGCACCGTCATTCAAATACATCGAGAAAAAAACTTTGAATTGTATAGCGTTATAGTTCAAAACGTATTTTTTGAAGTGTTTTTGAAAAATTCTCCGAAAGTATTTTATAAAATATGTGCTTAATGCATTAAACAACATGTCTTTAAAGTTTTATAACTACAAAATGAATTACTACTTATTTACTTTAACATCACTTCCAATGTCTGAAGGATTATTGAGATTTTTGGCATTTTTCTCTTTTAATGTTTGCTTTAATTGCATCGGCTGCCACTGCACGAAAAAACGCATAAATTACGTGATTTTCGGAAAGGCTTGTTTCTGCCCAAATCCGTGCATATAAGTTTTTTTTGCGCCAGGCAGTAAATTTGCAGGCACATGCATATGGGGAATGACCATGAATTACATAAAAAGCCGCAAATACCGAAGTCAAAATGCGTGGCCTCAACGTTTCTGTGTATTGTAAAGCATGCCGATGTGCAAGAGGAAAGCATTTCCACCGCCGTTCCTCGCAACATGCAAACGATTCAGTCAGCAGCAAAAAAAAAAAAAAATTCAAATATATATTGCAATCCTTTAGGCACGCGGAACATAATGAAACGAAAATGCTACTGTGGCAACAGCAGTCGCTGCAAGGACATTCAGCTCCACGGACCAAGGATCGAGCAGCGAAACCCGGGACCGTCCGAAGCTGTCCGCTTGCCATTTGCCGAATAAGAAAAATAAATAAAAACGTGAAAATATTTCTTTGGCCAACATTTTTACAGGCGCCTGGCCCCCTTCCCTCCATTCAATTTTTCGTTGACCCCGCTTGCCAACCAATTCGCAGAAATTTTTATACAAAAAATGTTTTTATTTATTCCCGTTGGGGCGGCCGATTTCTCTCGCCTCGGATTGTGTTTGGGCAGTAGGAATGCTTATCGTCCGGAAAATTTCGATGCAATATATATCGTAAGCATATGGGTCTTGACATACAAATATCGGAATGAATATTTGGAGTCAAAAGTTCTTGCCCTTTTTTATTTTATCATAATATCTTAAAAGCATTTTAATTTAAAATGGATAATCGGCAGATAATAAAACGGTAAAACCACACTATTACGGCAGCACTATATATCGGCACTAATATCGGTACGCCACTTATTCTTTAAATTACAATCTCAGTAGCTCTACCATCGCTAGATTTTTGCTGTGGCCCAGTCGCAAAATCCTTGCAACTGGGCCTGGCTTGCGGCCGTCGGTTGATTTATATTGATGAATGTCCGTTTGTTCGTTAGTTCCGTCTTCGCAGGCTGCCAAAGAGATTTACTTGCATGGGGCGGGGGGCGTGGCAGTTATTTAACTCTTTGCCTTTTGTTGTGCTGCGCTCGCACAAGCTCATATATATTCGCAGGCAGTCACACACACACACGCATACTGGATGCACTTGCTTATGCTCAGTGCCAGAAATTATTGCATACTTTACGGAAATTAACCGCATTTCCATTTCTTGCACGCACACAGGATGGCTGCGTCATCTCGTCCTCCCCTTTTTTCCGGACTCCGTGCACTCCTCTCCGGGCTTCCACTTGTACACATATTTACAATTTTAATGACTTTATTTTTGTGCTGGCATAAAACATTTTAACACACTCACAAGTGGGAGAAGTACCCAGGTTTTTATTGTTTTCTTATAATATGTATAAGCTTGCTTGGAAGAAAATTTAACTTAAAGAAATCTGCCCTCTTGCATTGATTTGTTTGAAAAAAAAACTTTGAAAGTATTGCACTTTAATTTAAGGGTTACACAAATGGCTTTGAACGTCCTATATTTTTCTCGTGCATGTGTGTAAATGATTTTTTACAAATTATTTTTTAAGGGAATCTATACTTTGGTTATCTTAACTTTGCGTTATCCTTTGTTTCATTTACTGTGTTGCCAATTCGTTCAGGTTAAGTCAGCTGCTGAACCAGCGGAGGGAATTAAGTAAGGGAACCGTCGTACTATACATTCATATTTCTTTGTGACATTTGGCTTTTACATTATTAATCAAGCGGGAGTATTTTAATTTATGTTGCCGTGCACATAAGTATAAAATGCAACTATAACGAAAAACCAAAATGTACTGCGAAATTAGCAGAGACCATGATATTTGGTAGTGATTCTTACAACATGTCGTAAGTTCATTAAACGAGATTTCCCTTTAAAGTTTTTAAAGAAAGTTGAATGAAAAATCGAGCGAAACCTCTATGCATCTCTTTGACTTTATCAAAGAATTCGTACTTAATATGCTCTCATTTACAGAAAAATATAAGTGTCCTTTCAAGCCGAAGCTCTGCGAAATAAAGGAAAATAGACTTGTATAAGGAATACTAATTGAATTCCAAGAAATCCTTTCTTTAGGAATGAATTTTATTAAAACCGTTGCCAAGGAACCTTTTTCACCTGCTTTGAAAACTGAGAATTATTAATAATGCTCCATAGTTGAAAGAAAGTTGATTGCATTCAATCAATAAGAGGCAGAACAATTTCTTTGATTGACTGCTGTGACCTCTGCTGCGTCCGCTGATCAAAGTTCAAGGGGGCAATTGGCACGCCGGATGCGTAATCTATTTCAAACAGCGACCATGCAAATCGAAGAAGCTATAGCCACCGCCATCGCCATCGCCAGCGCCATTGCCTCTCAACTGTCGACTGTCGGATGCATTCGAGCACAATACAACACAATTTGCTGGTGTTGCTGCAGCCTGCCCCCTTTCCCCCACTCGTCCTTTTGTCCTGTCAGGCCGTCTGTCGAACACCGAGATGCATAGAGAAATTGCATATAAAATGCAG